TCTACCCCACAAGAAGGTAAATTTTTTACTGACCCTTTAAGGTGGCTTAATTTCTCATCGTTCACGTATCAGAGCCTGCATTCCGCTAGCATCTACAAGCAGAGTCGCCCGAAGAATTCTGCGTCATCACGACGTCCCTCACGCGTCCTCTCTTTCCAGGCCTCATGGAAGGACGGCGTGCCGAAGTCAGTGAATAACGTAGTCACGCCGAGCCGCCCGACCACATGTCGGATTTCCACGCACGGCCCGCGGCGCCCGTGGTGCGGTGCTGCACACTGATTCCGAGAGTCGTTTTCGTCGCTCTGTCTCTCGCACTCACGGGCCGCCGTCCCCCGTGTACAGGAGCGAGAGAGACAGAGCGACGAAAACGACTCTCGGAATCAGTCCGCCGGCAGCCTGGCTGGCTGGCGGGGTGATTCCGATGTATTTTCCACTCGGATTACCTGCCTGGCCGCGCTCAAGCATGAATGTCCCAAGGGAGGGGGTTCATCCGCGGCACCGCGCCGCACAGAGACAGCGCGCACTTGAATTCCATTTCACCGTCTCTGGAGGAGAGGGACAGGGGCTGTGTGTGTGTGTGTGTGTGTGTGTGAGAGAGAGAGAGAGAGAGAGAGAGAGAGAGAGAGAGAGAGAGAGAGAGAGAGAGAGAGAGAGAGAGAGAGAGAGAGAGAGAGAGAGAGGCGTGTCCCGCGAGGCCCTGCACCCGCGGGGCCGTGACTCGCATGTGCGGCAAACCGCGGTGTCTGCTTGCTGCCTTTCAAGCCTCGTGCACCGCGACGACTCCCAGCCGACGACGCCACTACTCACCATCTTTTGACTATTTTTTTCATTTTTTTTACGACTGGACGACTCAAGCTGCCGATTCCCCAGTCGCATTCCACGATCGTATTTCACGGACGAGCTGCGCCTCTGCGGGGCGTGGCGTGGCGGGGCGCGGCGGGCGGGGTGCGGCGGGGAACATGTGGCCGTGTGCTTAAGTCCCAGCGGGTAGCAACCACAAATAAGGGCACTCCTTCATCCTGGACAGCGCGGCCGGCCCCGACCTCGCGGCCCCGACCACGGTCACGGCCTTGCCGGTAACGGGCCTACCCCCGGATGAGTACCCCCAACCCTCCCGCTGTCTCCCCCTTAGGGAGGGGGTGACGCGTACCTGATGTGCCCCAAGCCAGCGAAGCCAGCGCCCCTCCTCCGCAGGGGGACTTGGCCCGGGCCCCCGCTCGGCCCGACGTCATAGGGCCGAGGCCGTGTCGGGGCGGGGCGGGGCCGTGGCACGGGCCGGGGAAGGCGACGTATTAAACAAAGGCTAAGTCCCGGCCCATCCAACACCTTTTTCGGGTCAATGGATCATTTCCCTGACCCTACTCTCGACCAGAAGTTTCACCATAAAGGCCAACCCCGTCCTAACCGGGGACCAAGGGCCCCAAGGGCCCACCGCCGGATTTCCTTCTTGCCTACCCTTTCAAGGAGTAACATGTACTCCATCGGGAGCTTTCCCTAGGGAGGTACCTCCCGCTATGCGGGAGTTTCCCTGCGGCCCTAGGGAGGTTCCCGGGGGAGCTCCCTCGGGAAAATTCCATGGGCGAGCACCATCCCTAGGGTCAATGTACTCCCCCCTCTCGAGGTAGGGAGTACACTATCCTAGGGATGGTGTACTCTCCTAAGGGGGGAGTACACTGTCCCTAGGGATGATGTACTCCTGGGGGTCAATGGTCACGAGAGTATAATGCCCCGCCCAGACCGGCCCCGACCTCGCGGCCCCGACCACGGTCACGGCCTTGCCGGCCACGGCCGCGCGCCCCGGGAGCGGCCGGCCCAACCCTCCCGCCTCTCGGCCTGCGGGGAGGCGGTGACGCGTACCTGATCGCCGCCAAGCCAGCGAAGCCAGCGCCCCTCCTCCGCACTGGCCCCGCCGGGCCCCGCGCTCCGAGCCCCGTGGTTATGGGGCCGAGGCCGTGTCGAGGGCGGGGCGGGGCGAGGCACGGCCGGGACCCAGGCGACGACGTATTAAGACAAAGGGGCTACAGTCAGGCCCGCCATACACTTTATGGTCACTGGGTCATTTCCCTGGCCCATTTCGCCGAGAGAGTTTCGCCATACGCGGCCACACGCCCCACCGGGGACCAGGGCCCGAAGGGGCCCACCGCCGGGTGTCCTTCGGGAGCTTCAGGAGTCCCAATCAGGAGCTCCATCGGGAGCTCCATCGGGAGCTCCATCGCGAGCTCCATCGGGAGTTCCATCGCGAGCTCCATCGGGAGGTCCATCGCGAGCTCCATCGGGAGTTCCATCGCGAGCTCCATCGGGAGGTCCATCGCGAGCTCCATCGGGAGTATCCACCGAGGGGAGTGGCGCGACCGTCATCTCACGGTCCGGAAACGGATGGCCGGGTTGCAGGCGTTGCAGGCGTTGCAGGCGTTGCAGGCGTTGCAGGCGTTGCAGGCGTTGCAGGCGCCGCCAACGGCCGCCCAAATTGAAACAACGCGCGGCGTGCGTTTGGCGCGTTTGGGAGGCGGGAACCGGGCGGGAACTGGGCGGGAGGGAAGGACGCGCTGCTGGGGCGCGCCGGATAAAAGCGCGCTAGATAAAGAGAGTAATGCTCACCGGACGCGCGGTTCTCTGTCTCTCTCGCACTCACGGAGGGTGCCGCAGGGGTGCGAGAGAGACAGGGCGAGGGGGGCGGAATCGCTCGTCGAGGCGATAGCGCGGGGCGGCAAGGTGGGCCGGCAAGGTGGGCCCGGCATGGCGGGGCGGAGCGGGGCCTCCCCGGGCGCCGCGCCAAAGAATCTCACGCGAGACGGCAGTATTTCTTTCCCTCCCGTTGATTTCCGGTCGCGAGGTGCTTAACGAGCCCCTTGGAGCCCCTGCACTGTTAAGGAAAAGCCGTTACATTCGGGGAGATATATGGTGTATTCCTTTGTGTACAAAAAAGAAACATAACCAAAACCCCCTCGTAAGGAGCCTGCGACGATATCAAAACCGTGCGGTGTCCCTAGCCAGGAAGCGGACTGTCTTGTCCACCAGATTGGTGCCGTGCCATTTTCTTTAACAGAGTGGGGCCCGGCCCGGCCCGGCCCCAAGGTGGCACGGCGGCCAAACCGGACCCCACGGAAAAAAAGGATTAGTTGTGACAACTAACATGTTAGTTGAAAAGCGTCCAAAGAAGATTTTGGTTTTCACAACTAAAAGTTTGCGCTCTAACGAATTATTAGTTGAAACGACTAGAAATGCAGTGGCTCAAGGATAAGTTGATTATGCCAACACTATGTTAGTTGTCAGGATTACACGAGCGTCACGGAGAAAAAACCACGTACAGAAAAAGTCTGGGGCGGGAATCGAACACGGGACCTGTCGCTTGTCGATCAGACGCTGCCCACTGCGCTGCGGACATTCTTAGGAGACCCGACTTTCGGGCGAGATTATCGTCGCTTGTCCTAGCATCGGTCAGTTTGCTGTATCAGCTCATTGGCATTCTCCGCTATCAGCTCACCACAGCGCAGTGGATAGCCTCAGCAGCTCTCAGATCACAGATTCCGCGATCGATACCCGCTGAAGGTTTTTCTTGTGTGATGTTTCTTTTCTCTCGTGACGCTCGTGTTAGTCATCACAACTAACATATTGTAGGCACAATAAACTTTATCCTTGTACCAACTTTAATTTGTTAGTTGGTTAAACTAATATTTTTGTTCCTGCAGCAAACTTTTAGTCGCAGCAACTAAAATCTTAGTTGGCCGCATTCCAACTAACATGTTAGTTGTTACAACTAATCCTTTTTTTCCGTGCCCGGCGGCGGTGGAGGTAAGAAGCTCCGGGAAGGCCAGCGAGAAGGGCGTCCTGGACGACCAACTTATCAAGTCGTGGGGCGTGGTGGGGCGTGGCGGGTGAGACGGGGCGGGGCGTGGCGGGGTGAGGCGGGGCGAGGCCGGCACCAAAGGTGAGAGGTATATTCCGCTTGGTTGCGCTGACAATTCCCCTCGTAAGGAGCCTGCGACGATATCAAAACCGTGCGGTGTCCCTAGCCAGGAAGCGGACTGTCTTGTCTACCAGATTGGTGCCGTGCCATTTTCTGCGGATTTTCTGCCATTTTCTTTAACAGTGTGTGGCCCGGCCCGGCCCCAAGGTGGCACGGCGGCCAAACCGGACCCCGGCGGCGGTGGGGGTAAGAAGCGTCCGGGAAGGCCAGCGAGAAGGGCGTCCTGGACGACCAACTTATCAAGTCGTGGGGCGTGGTGGGGCGTGGCGGGTGAGGCGGGGCGAGGCCGGCACCAAAGGTCGAGGCAGCGTGTTGTGGGGGCCGCGTTGGTTGCGCTGTAATTCCGCACACGTCATAGAAGAAGAATATGCAACTTTCCTTGTTTTTTGCAAGAAAATTTTTCTTAATCCAATTTTTTTTCTTGAATAAAAAAATTTCATGTGTCAAGATTATTTTTCTTACAAAAACCAAGAAAATCAAAAACCAAGAAACCATTTTTTTGGGTGCAGACTCGGAGGCCCTCTGCACACCGAGACTATCGCACTGTAAGAGGGCGGGGTGGGAACTACATAGCAGTGGGCCTGCTCCAAGTCCCACCCGCTCCCCTCGACTGTCTGCTTCCTTTCGCAGAACGGAGGCCGCCGTTCTCGCAAATAACAAACAGACCGTGAAATTGCTTACCCCCGGCCCGGCCCGACATTTTCTGCCTCCATAAAAAATCCGGAAATGTTTGCTAATCACCTGCTGCTGCGAGCGCGTGGGGCAGCAGCCACACGTGGCGACCTCAGCCGGCGTCCTGTTCAGAGTGTTCACTAGTTGAGTTCGCATTTAGCAATCGAATAATCGAATCGACTCAAATCAGATCAGGCACACTCAATTCAAACTAAACAAAAGTGTTAAATTTTCGAAAAGAATAATTCTAGAACACAACCGGAGGGGACTCATTTCGCCCCTCTTAAGGCAGTCGATTCACTTCGATTCGAGACTCGAAAATTAAGGCGGCGGTACAATCGCAAATCGTAGACTCACTCACCCATGAGCTGGTACGCCACGGCGGGCGGCAGCACGAACACGCCCACCAGCCAGTCCGCCACGGCCAACGACATGACGAAGCAGTTCGTGATGGTGCGGAGCCGCCGCGTGGTCAGCACGGCCACAATGACCAGCGTGTTGCCGATCTGGAAAAACAAAGGGCCAAATAAGCGCTGTCGCGGCGGAATGATGGTACTTTGCCGCGCCGGTGAATGACACACCGCCGCGATACCTCGAAACGATACATCGAAAACGGTTTTCGATACGTCGGCTCGGCACGTGACCGCGTGCTCGTGAGCGAGCTCGGCGCACGGGTCTAAAGGGTTGGAAGAAAGCGAATCATTTTGATGTTTTAAGTTTAACCGAGGCATTGGATAGTCATTTAAACACAGTCGGGGCAGTACACCCAAAGAAAATCAAGTTACTGAATGCTTAAAACAAATTTACTTGTTGCAAGTAAATTTACTTGATTCCAAAAATGACATTTTTTGAAGGGGTTGGGTGTGCTTTTAAATTTAAAGGGTTCCTCAAATTCGCGAAATTTAGGAGACGAAAATTAAGACATCACGGTCGGGACACTCGAATCTACTCACTAAAATGTTCGTAGAAACAGTTTTCTGTGTAGATGAACCTTTTTGCACACGGTTTTCTACAAAAAAGGAGCAAATGTGCAGGTTTTTTTCATATGAAAATCGTACAAATTTGAACTACCATCAGTTACGCTTCGGGCTTCCTGCCCACCAATTAATGCACAGTCAAGGCGGTCTGCTAGCACACTGCTGGCACACTGCTGGCAGCACTGCTACCCCAACAAGGCGCCTCTCCTTCCGGTCCTCGAGCACCACCGGGCTTGTGGCCCCAGCCTTGGGCCTGGATGCTGAACAATCGGAGGGGGGGGGGGCTGAGGCCCAGACGGCGCCCTCTTACGGGCCTATTTACCAGCGCCCTCACTCCTGATCAAGTGTAATCTCTGGTGCACCTCCGCACTTCACCGCCCCCGGGCCCACCGCCCCCTCCCCTTTCCCCCGGCCCTTGGACGGGCCCTTGACAAGCTCCCCAAGACCCGAGCCAGTGCCTTGTACCCAGTGTAAGGCAGTGTGGCTGCCGAGGCGGACTTAGCAAACCAGCTCCGTGTTGATTTATGCACCGAACGGTCAAGGCGTCCAGAGAACCGATAAGTCAGAGCGGGGCGCCGGGGGCACCGGGGCACTGGAAGGCCGCATCACGCTGGCCACGTCGCCCTCGACTCAAAGTTGGCGCGACACGAAAAAAATGGACGTGAATAGAAATTATTTTGTTGGTTTTTACACGATTAGAACTGCTTCAAAACCCGGTAAAAATTAGTATTACAAAGAAAGTTTGCTTCGCATTCTGCTTGCGTCTATTTCACTGAAAAGAAATTGACAGTGTAGAGCCGGCGCCTTTCCGTGAAACACTCACCACGATGAGCGCGATGACGACGCAGGACACGGCCACGACGGAGAGGTCCTGCCAGGTGAAGTTGAGCGGCGCGCTGAGCGTGGTGACGGACGAGTTGCAGCCCAGGCTGGAGAGGTTGAGGGCCACCAGGGTGGGCAGCAGCGTGGGCACCGTGGTCCCGGCCGAGGCCCCCGCCGTGCCCGCCGTCACGCTCAGGGCGGCCGTGGTGGCCGAGGGCGCCAGGGACCCGGCGGCCACCGGGGCCCCCGTGGACACGGCCGCCACGCCGACCACGCCCGTCGGCCCCGGGCAGGGCAGGGCCGCCTCCGCCGCCTCATCCAGGGACATGCCGCGCAGCTCCGCGCCGTTCACCTGCGGGGACAAGAAGGGCATCGTCATGGAAACGAAACGAGACGCCGGCCGGGGCTGCGGGGGGAAGTCAGGGAGGACGTCGCCGTCGGGGACCTTTCTAGATTTCGGGGGTGGATAACGTAGCCACGCTCGCAGCCCCCGCTGGGGCCAACGCGGCTGACGGCAGGCGACGCTCCCGTCTCTCTCTCTCCCACTCTCTCCCCCACTCTCTCTCCCACTCTCGGAATTGCGGAACCGTAGGCGACTTTTCTCTCACATTCCGCCCTTTCTCCGCGTATAATCCCAAGTTTGGCCACTCATCTCCGCGAGGGACAAATCCAGCACGGCTACCTGCAGGGCCCGCGCTGCCGCGCGCTGCGGGCTGGGCCGGGGTTACGCCCGCCGGGCCATTGTTGCCGGCGGCGAGGATTGGAGCGTTATCGTCGCACACGCGGCGAAAAGAGCAGCCAAGTTTCTCGAATCAGAATCCGTCCAGGGGGCAAACGAGGGGGGGAGAGAGAGAGAGAGAGAGAGAGAGAGAGAGAGAGAGAGAGAGAGAGAGAGAGAGAGACCGTCAGCAAGGCAAGACGCGGCACGCCCTCCGTAAGCCTTGATCCCCAGCCAGACAGAGCGCCTGCGGAAGCTGAGGTAGGCCGACCCGCCGCACACGTCGGAGTGACGGGAGGGTCTGCCGCCCAGGCGGTGGGCGCTCTCTGACTCCGCCACTTGAAAACACTGGGACTACGAATGATCCTCTGCCTTTCGGTTCCGTGCGTGGCAACAGACAAGTTCTGTTGAGATCTCCTACTTTCCGGGTTTGCACTAATCGAGAGGGTTTGGACCAAATAGAACACTCACACTCTGGACTGGACTTTAAGTATATTCTTTGGGTTGATCGACTTGGCCTCACACGCACCCTGATACAATACTAGCTTTCCTACGACTGCCCCGAGGCAGAGGTGTCGCGCTCGCTGGAGGGCCCCCGTGGCTCGCGGAGCGGGCCGCGAAGGGCCCCGCCGGGCGGTGCTACTGCTGCATCAATCGTCGCGCCGCGACCCCGCTCGTCTAGGTGGCGGTGAGCCGGGCTGATGGTCGCGGCGCGCGACTTTTGAAGTTGTCCCTCAACAGTTCCGCAAGGAAAGCAACAGCAAGACGAGTGAAAAACTTTAATTGATACATTAGCAGACCAGTGAGAGTACTAAATGAACAAGAACAAAGTGTGTTCGGCTAACGCTATACAGTCCCTGCTGACTCAAAAGCAGCGGTCCTGGTAACTTCCTATCGTCACGCAAGCCATTCCTACCTTATACGGCTGACACCGCAGAACAAAACCACGGACAAGAGTCGCATAATCCTTCGCCACAAAAAGATGGGAGTCCATGTCGTGTTTCGACGGCGAGGACGGCGGCAGGCTAAAGGCGCGTGTTTGCCGATGGCTCACACTGTGAGGCTGACGCAGCTGGGCGGCTCACACCCCCGACGCCTCGCAGCCTCGCGTCAAAGTCCTCGCGAGGAGAGCATGGAGCGCGCTGCTCGCGGCAGAAACAACTTGGAGCGAGACACGCCTTCTTCGCGCACGGCGCGCCGCGGCGGAACCTCTCGCTGCTAATTCCCCGGCCTCGCCTGGAGTCTGGCTGGAGCCGCTGCAGACTGGGAGTTGTCTTCGTCGCTCTAACTCTCTCGCACTCACGGGGCGTCCCGTACGGGTGCGAGAGAGACAGCGACGGAAACAACTCCCAGTGTGCAGGAACGGGGCATAAGTCACTCTTGAGAACCGGCACGTCTGCCCGGCCGGCAGGGCGCCCTCGCCCTCCTCGCCTCCCCAGTGCGCCGACGGCCCGCCGACGGCCCGCCCAGCGAAAGAGCCGTTTCGTCGCTCTGTCTCTCTCGCACTCATGGGGCTCCAAGCGTGCGAGAGAGACAGAGCGACCAACCGCTTTCCTGAATCACCCGGGTGGCGAGCGATTCCGAAGAGTCGCCCCGTCATTGTTTTTCTCGCCACCACACTAACTGACCTACAATGAATTTTTAGGGGTATGTTAGAGAATTATTCACGAAAGAAATCCGATAAAATGCCCACATGGCACATTGAATTTTGAGAGGTAACGGTACAAAGTCAGCTGCCAACATGATGTAAAGAATCTCGCCATAAGACTTTGAGAGTGCACGGTGCCGCTGGGGTGGCCGTGACAGGCGGGGCCGACGCGGAGACAAATTAGGCGCATTGGGGAGCAAATGCGAGCCCCTACACTGCAGCGGCGCAGCGGCCTGGGGACTGACTCCCAGAGTCGTTTTCGTCGCTCTGTCTCTCTCGCGCCTACACGGGACGCCCCGAGAGAGCGAGAGAGACAGAGCGACGACACTGGGAATGGGTCTGCGGCAGACGGCCCCGGAATGCAGTCAGAGCGCTGTCGATCGGGAGGAACACAGCGAGACAGGCCGCCCGCTGCGCCGAGGCGAAAAAAGGGGTGGGGTGGCAAGGAAGGAGACGGACGGGGAAGAGAGGGTTGAGGAAGAGGGACAGAGAGAGGGCGCACTGCCCCCACCACTGCGAAAAGCGTTCAAGGCAACCAGCAACATCAACACGACGGCCAGGCAGCCGCGGGCGGACCTTTGGGCTCGCGATTCCCCAACATCGCTCTCGGCCCTCTGTCTTTCTCGCACTCACGGGGCGTCCCGCGGCGGCGCGACAAACGCCTGACTGTTGCGTCAACGGCCGAGACGAAATCGGGCGCTCGCGTCTCCACATTGAATAAAACATCGGAACACGGAGGGACGCAAGCGGCCGTGGCGCGGCGTGGCTGTCTGCGGGCGGGGCGGCTGGCTGGCTGGCTTCAGGCGGGGCGGCTGGCTGGCTGGCTTCAGGCGGGGCGGCTGGCTGCGGGCCGAGGCTGCCCCCTGTCTCTCTCGCACCTCGGTCCGCTCTATGAGTGCGAGAGAGACAAAGAGACAGCCTGCCGGCTGCGGGTGGCGGCGCTGCAATGGCCTCCACCCGAGGGGGTAACGACTTCGGGAATCCGGCTGACAGCAAATTGGTAATCCGTAATCCGGATAACCCGAATTTTTGAGGTAATCCGGGGTAATCCGGGAAAATTTTGAGGTAATCCGGGGTAATCCAGGAATTTTTTTGTTGTAATCCGGAGGTAATTTGGGGGTAATCCGGGGTAATCCGAGGTAATCCTTAATCCGGCTGACACGAAATTTACCAGTCGTTACCCCCTCGCCTCCACCCCGGGCCGCTCACGTCACACGCCTCTTACAGCGACCCATATCCCCCTTTTCTCAGAAGCATGGCGTCCAGCGGTCTGATTCCAAGAATCATTTGTAATTTCGTCGCTCTGCCTCTCTCGCACCTTTAGGCGACGCCCCACGGTAAAAACGGTTCCTCCTTTCCGCAGGAGCTCCCTGGAAATCGCCTGTGGCTTCCTGGGAAAGCCAGGTACCGTGCCCACATGCGCGAGAGGGACAGAGCGGCGAAAGTGACTCAGTCTGCAGGGCGGCGGCGTGGCGCGGCGCGGCACAGTGGGCCAGAAGACCGGTGGAGGCGGCCAAAACTCTAGACGCGTCTTGAGCTCCAGAGTCACTAAATGGGACTCGAACTGAACGTGTGACCTCACCTATGCATTCCTTGTTCGGAGAGCAATCCATGGGTGGGTCACACGTTTGATTCAAGTTCCATTTAGCGACTCTGGAGATCAAAACGCGTCTAGAGTTTTGGCCGCCCCCACCGGTCTTCTGGCCCACTGTGCGTGGCCACGGGGCGCGCGGAGTCACGCGTCGGGACGCGTGCAGCCCAGGCGGACAAGTTGCCGGCAGCGCCGTGGGCCATCCCGCCTTGGCCGCCACGGCCGCCACGGCTCAGCCAGTCCGGGATGGTTTATTCAGCGCGCCAGCAGAGCTACGTCTCTCTCTCTCTCTCTCTCTCTCTCTCTCTCTCTCTCTCTCTCTCCTCTCTCTCTCCTCTCTCTCTCGCACTCACGGTGCGGCGAGTATGAGTGCGAGAGAGACAGACCGACGCGGGAGCCACAGTTTCGGAGTCAGCCCTGAGGGCTCGGACACAATTGCCGAGCGCTGCCGAGGCGGGGAGTGCTGGACACAGTCTGCCGTGCTTTCTTGCTTATTTAACACTTTTTTAAATGCTCCTTCTTCAACCCGCCGACAATTACTTCTCCTTGAGCACCCCGGCCGTCGTGTCATGGCGGGGAAAGAGGGAGAGGGAGGGAGAGGGAGAAAGGAGGGAGAAAGGAAGGAGGAGAGACAGAGAGGGGGAGGAGAGAGAGAAAGAGGGAGTGAGAGAGGGGGAGGGGGGGGGCAGTGAGCCAATTTAGCAGGAAGCTCGCCATGCCGGTCCGGCTGCTTCAATTAGGGGCGTGTAATGTGTCATGAAGGAGCAGGCCAGGGCGGGGCAGTGTTAAATACCGCTCCGCGTGCACCACCCTGTCTTTGAGTGTGTGTAAGAGTTTGTGTAATAGTGTGTTAGTGTTTACGTGTGTGTGAAAGAGAGAGTGTGTAGAGGCTCGGTGGGAACGCCACCTGCCTATGCCAATATCCCAATCGAAAAAAAAAACCACCATGGGACCGATCGAGCGTGCAAGTGGAGAGAGAGAGAGAGAGACCAATGCGTCGCGGCGCCGGCGACGTTGTCAGCCTCGACACACACCAAGCTGCAGAGCAGCCGCGGGGGTGGGGGTGGATATGTTAGGCAGATGCGCCCTTGGGCCCCAGGGCCCCCTTGGGGGTCGCCGGAACAGCAGGCCGTCGCTGCGAGCCACGGGGCCGCGGAGGCACAGGCTGGGGTGAGGCAGGCCAGGGACGTGGGGTAGGGCAGAGATGAGAAAAGTGATGCTCTCTCGACCTGCTAACAGGTGTCAGGTATGTACCCCAGCCAGGTGCCAGGCCAGGTGCGAGCTTTGGGCATAGAATGACATCAGTCGGAAATAAAACTTTTCGAAATAAGTCGTTTTATGCTAAACGCCCGCAAGTCTCTGTGTTCACGAGACATACACCCCTGCATGTTGTGG